TATCCTTTTAAAGGCTGGACAACCACATCATATTCGTTTTCCTTATAGGTTCTGTGGCTGCCTTGGAACCTCAGGAGGCTGCATGGAAGACAGGACACCTTTCAGAAGGATGGTAAATCTCATCTTAACCACAGACCACTCTCCCCCAGAGGCCTCTGGCACTCTCTTCTCAAAAAAGAAACTGAAAAGTGTGATGAACTCAAGCATTTTCTTCACGTTATTAGAAAACAGTGTATGATCAGTCTCTCATATACACCTGTCTCCGAGTCAAGATCCTTCTCTTACTCACAAGCAAACCATCCCAGCAATTTGGAAGGTGATTTTCTTTCTTTCCCTAAAAGCCCTAATATTTAGTTGAACTTCACGATTCCCCTGTTTTGATGTATTATGTTTCCTTTACTGATAAATATGAGTCTGTGGATGCTTTCTCTCTTCCTCTGGTTAGAGTTGTAGATACTCTTGATCCATCCGAGCGCTTCCTTCTGCAATGCTGATCACCAGCTTCTCCTCTCTCTCATGATTACTAAATCACGAGAGCGTCACAGTGGAAGGAGGTACTGGCCATGGGAGCCTACCTGTTTCTATCCATGTGTGAACTCTCAGAGTCTCACAAAGTGGGGGGGAGGGGCAGGAGTAGCGGGGAACCATGCACAGAACGCTCTCCTGGGTGCTTGTGAAGACATGAGGTCCCTTTGGGAGCTGATAGGCTGAAAGATAGGATTTTTCAACATCCTTTGCAGAAACATTAATAACCAGCTAGAGATGATCTTCAAAACCCTCTCTTTAGCTGGCCTAATAGTAAAAATTGTATTCTTATTTCATGGTGGGAAACCAGAACGGGGCGAAACCCTGAGCAATACCAGGGTCAACAGCTCAGAGAGGAAGGCCCACCCTCTCCACCAACCTCATCCAGCAGACCCCCTGCCTGTCGCAGCCCCATTTTGACTCTCCACTACGTATGAGCCATTGTTCTCAGCTCCTCGTTTGAACTTCAAATCAATGGTGGATGAATCGGTTAGAAGATTTAGACATCCTGTTCAGAGAACTTTATAAATTCATGGAGATTAGCTGGATCTGCAGAACATGGCTAGCGTTCTTAAAAACTGTCTTCTGCTCCCAAATGAATTCTTGAAATGCAAGATGTATGTGAGGAAATAATACAGTTTCTGTCCCCCTGATGGAGACCCACCCTGACCCGCCCAGGCCATCCTCTCTTCCAGCTATGCCTTACTTCCCTGAGCTTTCCCACTGTCGAATTTGTATACATATTTTACATATTTTAACTCAGTTTCCCCGTCACCACCTTCATCAGCAAGGCCTCACACACATCCTCCAGTTCTGTCTTTTGCACATTGCTGCTGGTCTCCACGTGCTCCTCTCCCACAAGGAGGACCAGTGCCTGGTAAAAGACTGATCTAAAGCCTGGCCCGCCCTCCCCCGGCCCCGCCCCCCGGCCCCGCCCAGTTCCACCCAGCTCTGCAAAAGGTCTAAACAGATAAGTATCTTCCCCTCTTCCTTTCCGGGGATTAGGTAACAAGCTAATGGCCCACATGAACTGGGCCAATCAGACAAGAGAGATGAGGCAGGTGGGCTTTTGGGCCTCACGAGTAAGATACAATCCAAAGCTGTGACGGCCAGTTCCCTGCCTCTGCGAGGGCCCTTGTCTGGCTTGGCTTCGGAAAGTAGCTGTGTTCTCCTGGTGAGTAATAAGGCAGGGCAGCTGACTTCTTAGTAACACCGCATGACCACTGAATCTGAGAGTCTCGGTTTCCTCTTTTAGAAAATGCGGAAGTTGACCTAATTTATCTGCAGCTTCCTTCCAACACCAGAATACCATATGTGCCTCTAGATATGATGGGGGAGAGCCTAGGGAGTGGAAAAAGGAGAACTCATTTTACCCGAAGTCATTGACTCTAGCAAGCCGTTCTTTCCATCTGAAGAAATGAGTACTAATCTTGGCTCAACTGAGAAGACAGTTTAATGACCCTCCTTCCCTCGAGTGTGAATATCCACTCCCAACTCATTTGGTAAGCAAACCGTGTCTACTACAATTAAGTGAAAAGAGCAGTGCACCTTTAGGGACTGAAAAGTTGTTTTTCTTCTTAAGAAGAAGTTTAGCGCCCCCTCTTCTTGTAGCTATTCCAAGCGCCACCCAAGAAAAGCTACAGAGTTAATGAGGTGTAGGCTTGTTGTATGGAACAATAAAGAAATACAGGACGACTTTCCTGAGGCCTTTAGTTTGCTGTAAAATGGTAAAAAGAATTAAGTCGAAGCACCACCTAGTGGTTCTCAACTGGGTTGTGCTTCCAATTTTCCTCAGTCTGAGACCATATTGATTTTTGTGTAAGATGATAGTGTTGTGATCGGACTGGCCTGACCTGAGTGACACCATATTGTATAAAACAGGAGTTTACAAGGCCAGGCTTTACCCCAAGGGACTTCGTTGCACAAGAGCATCAGACTCCATGTGGGTGCGAATGCAGAAGCAGGACCAGCTAAACACCACCACCTGTCCAGTGACACTCAGGAGGCACAGGTTGATACTCAACCCATTACCAAGAGTAAGAGTCACACCACCCTACACATTTATGAAAGCCAATGGGAACTCCATGCAAATATTAAAGTCACATCAGGAAAACGAGACCCAAGGACATATTGAATGGACCAGATTGAGGGAAGATTAAGACATCCTCACAGAGACTGCATAAGGGGGAAGACACCTAGCACTGTGATGGTAACACCCTCACCAACCTGTCATCCGATCACCCTGTGTGGGACTCAAGGAAATAACAGGCACAAAACTCCTGACTGTGAAAGGGGCTGCAGCTTGGCCTGGTTCTCGCTGCAGATGTAGCCTACTGTAACTGCCATCAGTCCATCCATCATTCGTCTGTCTGGACCATTTGGCTCTGATTTCTCCCTGGTCTGCACCTTGCTATACAGCTTGACTCAACTCTCGGACAGCTGAACTCTGTCCCTACAACTTGATTCTACAGTAGTAACAGCAGTATCTCTGACAGACTTTCGATCGTTAGTTATTCAACCCTTCTTCTCCCTGAGGACTCTTCTAGCAACCCCTATCAGTTTCTGTTTGTGCCTCATAGTTAGGCCTCTTTGGAACACCTTAGTCTGCTACAGCCTTTTTATCCCTTTGTACACATTCTGTAACCTTCATAGGTAAATAATAGATAATGATAGATAGATAGATAGATAGATAGATAGATAGATGATAGGTAGGTAGATAGATAAATAGATATATGGATGGATGATAGGTAGATAGACAGATGATAAATGACAAGAGAGATGCATATATACACACATACATATATGGATACATAGACATATTTTCAGTGTAATATGTAAAATATGATCTGACAGTGAATATTAATAGTTAAGATTGGAACAAAAAAATAGTAGGTTGCCTCAGTCAGCTATCAAGGGACTTGGTACTACCTGGCAAATTGCTATCAATGGAACAGCATACTTTATGAATTTACTTAGTAAATTCTAATATTTTGGAAACACATGAGCAAGTTCATCTAGTTTTTGACATGGGGCATCACAATATATAATCATTCATGAGCATGTACGCATATATACATATATCTGTGTATATGTGCATGCATGGTCAACAAAGGAAACTTTTCACATCTGTGTAGAGATAGGAAGATGAGGGGGTTGAACACCAGGCGGCTTTATGTGGCCTTTTGCCTTTTCAGCTAACACCACATTGAAAACTGGCAGTGGGTGTTGAGTAGAGAAGCCACATTTGCTATTCTGACAAGTGATGAGTCCAGTCTCTTTCAATTCCTCCCCACCCCCACCCCTGCCGCTACCTGCTCAAATCCTTCCTTGGAGCCCATGGCAGTTTTTATTCTCCCCAATTCTGCAACATAGATATGTCCTCAAATGTCTGGAGATCGACTAACTACTGGATCATCTTCTCACATCCGCAGATTTCAAGCACTTTCCCACTACAAGCCTTCCTTAACCCTAAACAAGTGACACTTTTTCTAAGATTGCTCTGGAGATTACTCTCTGACCCACCATCCCTATCTCTTGAAACTGTTACTCCATTACCTTTAAGGGAAGAACACAAATGATCCAGAGTATGCACATGAGTAGAACACAACTAATTTTTAATGATAGTAAACTTCTCAAGTGACCAACTAAGTATTTACTTCTATTAAAATTAATCTCAGCTATGTGCAAAGTAAAACTCCAAATAGCAGTGCTGTGAAAAACATGGTTTAGTCTCTATTACATAAGACAACAATTGGATAGTCTAGGGCCGGTGGGGTTAAATCTATGTCTGTCCTTACAAAACTGGAGTTATGTTATTGAGTAATATATGAGCTACTTATAAAATTGGAGTTATGTTTGAGCAATGTATGAGTTACTTAATGCCACAAATGTGCTACCTGATAAACAACCACAGGAACTTTATGGCAATGACTGTTCATTTGTCCAGGATCAGCATGGCCTCATGTCTGATGATCTTGATTGGGCTTGCTCAAGGGTCTGAGAGAACGCTAATTCCTGAACCCTTGAGCTGGCCTCAACAGAGAAATAAAAGGTTTGACTGACATGGACCAACTGTGTTCCATTATCACCATCCAGCAGGTTAGATTTTCCATATTCCTACAGAATGAAAAGTAGAAACACTCAGGACCTTTTGAGACCCAAACTCAAAATTAAAGAACTGCCATTTCTGTATCTTTTTATTGGCCAGAGAAAACTACTTGGAGTGAGTAACCAGAGTCTTGAACTTTGAGGTCTAGTAAAAAAACATGTCGGAGGGGAGGAATGAAGATAGAATCATGAAGAGAATTGTCTTCACAAGTAGAACAGAGAAGAGAGACAACAAGCCAACCTACTTTCAGTCTCTGCCCTGTGTTTTCTAGTCTGTGACAGAATTATATGTCTTTCCCTTTTCTGTCCTGACTTAAACATGAAGACATTGTAATGAAAGAGGAGAAAAAAAGAGCACATCCCTTAGATGTGTTTGACAATAATGAATTTATTCACTGCTTAATGCATGGTAATTTCCTTCTATTAAAGTAGACAATAATCTTGATAGCATTCTTCTACCCTTTATTGTGTGCAGATATTTGCTAATCTCGAGCCTCCTCTTTTTCTTCTTGATGTACAGCTATTAGGGTTCACCAGTATCTTATCCTAACCCATATTGATCCATCCTAATCTCTGTGTAAGTCACAATGCAAACAGCAAGGGGAATTGAGACAATGGGGTTCAAAATAGTAAGGGGATTTTCAGTGTTATCTCCAAGATACTTTCAGTACCTTCTCTGGGTCCAGGTTTTAAAATGCAGAGATACTGCTAAAAAAAAAAAAAAAGAAATGGCTCCTAGCTAGCTATTCAATGATTATTACAAAAGGCAACTGTCTAGCTACTTGGTAGCAAGCAAGCAAAGAAGGCCAGTTAGTGGACTGACTTGAAGATGTTGCTTCTCACAGCACCTGAAAGTGTAACATTTATGATCACATAAAATGAATCTAGGAACAGGAAATTGGTGGAAGCCATTCATGGAGGATGTGGGTGAAGGAAATACACCGAGCACTGTTGTTGACCTTTTGCTAAGCCATCTTCTTCTTCGGTCTGAGAAGTGGGGAAAGTAGAGAGTAGATAGTCATTCACAGCATGTATGATTGCAAACACCAAGATTTTGCCTGTATAGTCACACTGCATGACTGTCATCTGTCACATGACTTCTAACAAACGTGAAGACATCAGGATCATGTAAGCTGGATATCAACAAGGTGATGGTGAATGGTTGCTTTCTTGTATTGTGTCATCAGACTTAAGGGCTTCAGAAACCTAGATTTTCACTTTCTAGAAATAAGCAAAAGCAAACAACAAAAATACAATTAAATAGGAATAAATAGAAACTCATAGATGTCAAGAAACTTGTAAATAAACTCGTAAAAGTTCCAGAAACTTCATTTATACCACTGATTCCTGAGAGAGAGGGCTAGGCTAAGTCCCTTCTCAGAACTGTTGCAAGGCAGTCACTTTTGCCAGTGTTGTGGGTATCTATGCTGAAGAAGAGCAGAAGAAAAAAAATACAATGGGGCCATATAACATATCTTCTCAGTCCACTGTGAACTTAAACTTATGACAATGTTTTTTTTTCTAATTAGGTCTTTTTATTTCGGTTTTCTGTTCCTACCTGAAATAATTTCTCTTCTGGAAGAAAGCAAATCCTATGATGAGCAGAATAATCCCCAGAAGGGAAAGTTTCACATAGAGAATGGTCAGCAGGGAACGTGGCGTGCTAGTGACACCTGTAACTACAGGCAAGGGTAAAGGGCAAGTCAGTCCAATAATGGTTCTCACCAAGGAATTAAGACAAACAGCTTTAAAATCACTTACAGTATTCCTAATGTTTAAGGAACGTCAAAATCAGAAAACCTTATTATCAATTATAATTTAAATACCACTCACACATCATTGTTTCAGGATCAAGTTTAGAAATCAATTCCAGATTTTGTGATTGATGGGCACTAACAAATATTTGACAGTGAAAAGATACACACTAAGTATTGTTAATACTTTCCAGTTACATAAGGAAAAAGTTCTCATGTAAACTTTATTTTATTTTTATGAAAATATAATTGCACCCTTTCCACCCATTCCTCTTTCTTTTTCCAAATTCCTCCATTTGTACCCACCTCCCAGTGTTCCCTCTCAAACTACTAACCTCTTCTAAATTGTTATTGTTGCATATTTATACATAATATGAAATACAGTCTGCTGAGTCCATTCGGTGTTATTTGCATGTACATGATTTCAGGACTGAGTACTTGGGATTGGATAAAGGGCCATCTCTGAGAGAAGACTATTTCTTCCCCTTCTCAGCACTGTTGGGCCTCATAAGGCCTAGGTGTGAGGCCCAGTGTAACTTCCTGAGTCTAGCTTGAGCTTGGAGACCTGTCTTTGGCCATGACTTTGCTTATGAGTGACTTAGCACATCCCGACCTATGCCCACTTCTTCCCAGCCACTGCTAATGTGGCAGAATATTATTGGCCCTTGTTCTTTACTCCCCCTTAACCAATCCCAAGCTTTTCCACCCCCATCAAAACCCTATATAAGTTCCTGCCTGATACCATTAAATAAGATCCTGCTTCAAGAGATTCCTGACTCAATGGGCATGTTTCTCCCCATGAGGGGTTGGGGAGGGCTGAGTTGTTCAACATTCACCATCCTGCTTGGCCTCAGGGAAAGTCCGGCAGGTTCGGCTCTGCACCCCCTGCCCTTTCTGCCAGAGAACCCAGCACAGCACACCTTAGTTACCGTAGATCTTTGTCTAAGGGTGCTCACACTGTTAACCCCAGCATTTGGGAGTCAGAGGCAGTGGATCTCTGTGAGTTCCAGGCCAGTCTGGGCTACATAGTGAGTTACAGGACAGCCAAGAATAGGAAGTGAGATCCTATCTCAAATTTCTGAGAGCTACTGGTAGCAATGGCTTTGCCAGAGGCCACTGAGAACTTACAGTGGATGATAACTAGTATTTAACAGGTTGACCTATGGGACGGAAAACTCTCTGATGGTGAGCCTCACTTGGAAAAGACCATGGGGTCACTGATGTAAATGACTGTTCGTTTCTGTCTGTAGTTTTCCTCATGTGCCAATATGGGAATTTTTCCAAGTGCTTAAGTGTTTATCTCACAAATATATTCCATCTACTAGGCACATTTATAGCTGTGAATGGTCAGGAAGATGACTTCTGCTTAACTATGTAACTCTGATGAATAGAAATAATACTAGGATTTTTTTATTACTCAAATTGACATAGGAAAGTACTAGTACTCTCAGTCACAAAGACAGTTAATTTTAGACTTCAGAACAAATTCAATCCAAACTGGTTGCCCTTGGAGACAAATATACAAGGACAACTTCTCAGGTGTTTATTCTTAAATTAAGGTCAAGCGTGAAGCAACTTTGGTAGACATTACCCCCTGCAGTAACGGATTTTCTGCACATACTCCTAACCTCAAGGTTCATCAACTAACTATTGTTTAAGTCCTGAATTTCATTGTCACATTCTACCTGGGAACCCTGACCACACAGAGCTACGCTCATGGCCAAGTGTTACTCACTGGCTGGTCAGCACAACCTCCATAGCCTGAGAGAAACTGTGTGTTCAGTCTGGTTCTGTTTCTTATTATTTGCTCAAGAAGTGCTGTGTGGCTCTGAAAATGAGATCCACATTTGTCCAGAGGCTTTGCTGTAAAAGGAGAGGTGTGAGGTATGTGTGTGTGTGTGTGTGTGTGTGTGTGTGTGTGTATGTGTGTGTGTGTGCATGCCTGTGTCTGCTAAAAGGGAGATGTAGCTGAGTGTGTAGAGGGAGCAGTACGAGAGATGTAGCTGAGTGGGTAGAAAGATACAGAAGGTGTACCTGTATAGAAGAGAGATGTGCATATAGGACAGTGTGTGCAAAGGAAGAAATATATGGCTATGTGGAGAATGTAACTGTGAAATAGATGAAACTGTGTATAGAGATGACATGCATACAGCTACATACATACATAAAGAATGTATGTAAAGAAGTGTAACTATGAGGAGACAGACAGATTTTCAGAAAGGGATTTTTCAAAATGAAGTGAAAGAGAAAGTTAGCATCAGAAAGCATGTGTGTTTCCTTGTTTATCCTCAGCAAAGTCTAGTTCTTAGATAGAGAAGATTTTTTTTCCCCAATCCTGTAGCTCTGAAGGCATTTTTCTGCTACCCCGAGTACCTGGGAGTTGTCCTCTCATGCTGTGGTATCAAATAAACCAACAAATAAAGAGTTAAAAATAAAATACATAGATGGTTTTTGTTCTCCATCTCCTAGAACATAGCAACTAGAAGAATTGTCACCATAGTAAAAGTATCTTTGGTATGCTAGTAAAATAATGGGTGTCTAGAGGCTCTTAGCTTTGTGGTGGAGACTATCACAGGAAAGGCTAAATTGTGATTAGAGAGTTGGGACTTGAAGCCAGAAACTACCACCATCACCACCACTGAACCTTTTATAGCTAGAGGCTGAGTTATTCACCAATGATCAATAACCAGACATTGTTACATTGACCATGTAATGAAAACGTAATAGAAATTATAAACACTGGTGTTTTAAAAGTGTTTGTATGGGAAACTCGAAGAATAGAAATCCCTAAGATAGCATGAAACTCTATGCTTCTTCTTCCATAGAGGGCCCAGAGACTCTCTTCAATTTGTCTGTCCTAATGTTGCAGTCTTTAGAATAAACCAGTAATAGTAATCAAAGTGTATTCTCAGTTCTGTGAATCATTCTGTCAAATCACTGACCCTGATACATAGATGATGGAAACATCCCGAGTGTATAACTAGTGATAGATAACTGAAAACTTACTGGTGTCTGAAGTGGGTCTGTTGTCCTAGTTAGCTCTAACTGTCTACTTGCACAGCTTAAAGCCACCCAAAAGACCAGTATACTATGGGTGGCACCTGGGCAGGTGAGATAGATAGGAAGATAAACAAATAGATAGATAAAAAGATGATAGATAGATAGATAGATAGATAGATAGATAGATAGATTGTAACATGAGGGCCGACTTGTTGGGGTTTCTGCCCCAATTCCCCACAGCCAGCAAACCCCAAAGAAAATCACACAGAGTCTACATTAGGTTATAAACTGATTGACCCATTAGCCCAGTCTTCTTATTAGCTCTTGTAGCTTATATTAACACATTGTTCTTATCTATGCTAGCCATATAGCTCAGTACCTTTCACAGCAGGGCAGGTCACATGTTGCTGCTTCAGTGATCTGGGCAGAACTGCGGAGGGAGCTTCCTGCTTCCCAGAATACTGTTCTCATCACCCCAACTCTACTTCCTCTCTGGTTGACCCGCCTATACATCCTGCCTGGCCAATCAGCGTTTACTCAAAACATGGTTGACAGAATACAGACAATTCTCCTGCACCAATAGATAGATAGACAGATAGACAGACAGATAGATTATGGGTCTGAGTAGGTAGCAGGCAGCATTAGTCCAAAGGTTCTGCCTCAAGAGTGTGCTGAGTCGTCTTGACTTTCCTCTTTCCTCCTTTAAGTGGCTTTTTGTTTCAAACAAAACTTCAAATACTTATTTTCATGGAAGAGTAAGCTCAATACAATTTTTTAAAAAAGAAACAAAAAAGAGATATTCACCTCGATTCTGTTCTGTAGACAGAAGCTTGGTGCCAGTCGGATGGGAGACAAAGCAGAACACAGCAGACATATTGTTCTGCTCCCAGTGGTATGTGCTCCTGACAGTCACGGTGCCATTGCTGTGTGATTCCTTCTTAGTGACGTGATTCCCATCTGGAGTCCAAAAGATCTGTGCAGCTGGCTTGCCTGCAATTGCCTCACAAACTGCTGTTCTGTTTTCCCCTGGAAACAAGGTTACTTCTGGGGGGACTGTGGGGATAGAAGGGAAAAAAAAATTCTATCTTATCACAAACTACAAAAGCATTCTTTTCTATCTAAATCTGGTGAAATACCACAGTATGTAACCTTGTTGCTTACCTAGCACTTGAAGGTCATATCCTTCTTGGAAATCCCCATCAGGTGTTGTTATTTGACATGAGTAATACCCATCATGACTGAGGGCCACGGCACTGATCTGAAGGTCAGGACTCTGCTCAGGTGTGGAGGCCCAGGTGATTCTCCTGTCGGTGCAGCCTATTTTACTGGTCTCCTTTGTCTCCAAGGTATAGGATATTCTGCAGGAAGGCTGGCCTCTGGGGGTTAGGAGCCACGTTATTAATACTGCTTTTGCCAGTGGAACAGCAGGGCAGGACAGCAGAGACTTTGTGCCCATCTCTACATACAGTGTGGTGTTAGCTAACACACACACAAAGAGATAAACAGAAAGGAGAGAAAGAGAGCTTACTAAAGGACTTGGTATGTTCTATTTACCTATAGTAGATTACATAAAGCTGTATTTTTTGAATGTCTTTTGTTCTGGCACTAATATCCTAAAAACTATGTAATTAATTAATTATAATTCACAAAATATGCATTATTTTTTAAAAAAATCGAATACTAGCCAACTGTGCCATCTGATACACATTTCTGGTGGATCAGGGTGTATTGTAAGTATTTGAAGTTAACACAATAGTTTTGATATCTAGAGACAGACAATTGCTTCTCAGTCTTTCAGCTATGATCAAGTAAGCCAGTCATAAAAACACAATAAAATTACATTAAATTACAAAAAGAGTATGCTAAATCTATTTTTTTGGTGGTGGACAATATTGATGTCATCATACAATTCATGATTCTCAGGAAAAAATTTTGTGATTGTCTCCTAAGTTTTGGTCAGTAAATAAATAATCATCAAGTCTCCTCCTAAGGATTGAGATAAGCATTAATGTGGAAAATATGAAGACACTGTCATTAAAAGTAATTCATGGCTTTTTTATTTAACTAGTTAGAATTTTTATGTTTATTTTTATTTATAGATTAGAAATAAGCTAAATCAATTGATTTTAAAACATTTTATACAAGTTCTCTAGCCTGACCATCTCATGAAAAATAAAATAATAATCAGTAGAACTAGAAAATTCTTATAAATATTTGTTTCCAGTGAAAAGGTAATTTTACTGACAGTGTATAAAATTATTAGATATAATACTTAGATATGTTTGCCTTCCATCTTATTAGATAAGTAAAAATTCACAGACAGTTCAGCTCTGAGTTTTGCTCATAGATTTTGTTTCTGCAGTCAAAATAATACACAAGTTGACCGTTGTGTCCATTTATAAAAAGTTTAAATTAAGCCTCAGAACCTGTAAGCTTCTCCTACTTAGAACCTCATGCAATTCATACATTGGCAAAAGGCACCATGACTGATAAGTTTACTGAAGGGTGTTTATTCCATCAAAGCGTCTGTTCCAGCTCACTTGCAACAACTATGGGGATCAGGATGACCTCACTTTAATGTAATCACAAATAGTTATGTGATGGAGGGACTTTTTGCATGAATGAGCTCTGTCTTTGGTAAAATTTCTCCCTTTTCTTGCTGTGTCACTTGTCTCCTCTGGGCACAAAAGTAAGCCTCACATCTTATCGCCAAATAAAAGTCATATCACCATGTTAAATGAAAAGTGGGACGTTAAACCCAAATTTGATGGGAATGGCCTGCATAAACTCATATATCTGAATGCTGAATCATGAGGAAGTAGTACTGTTTGAAAGATTAGAAGGATAAAGAGGTATGTCTTTGTTTGAGTGGGTATGATCTTGTGGGAGGAAATATTTCATCAGAAGTGGGCTTTGAGGTTTCAAAAACCCATGCTGGGCCCAGTCTCTCCCTCCATCCCCCCACATCCTCCACCACATTAGGATGTACCTGTCACCTACTCCAGCCCCATGAGTGACACCATAGTTCCACCCTGATGATATTGGATTAAACTTCTGAACCATAAGCAAGACCTCAATTAAATGCTTCCTTTAGTAGGAGTTGCCTTGGCCATGGCGTCTCTTCACAGCAATAGAACAGTGACTAAGACACCAATGTTCTTTCCATCGCTGCAAGTTTACAAAGATTTAGAGGCACACAAGGATGTACCTTGTTAGGGAAACAATTAGCAGTCCAATTACTCAGGACCTGTGACAGCACCACACTTGGACCACTAGACACGTCTACTAAGAGGAAGGCTGGAATACTACAGCCGGGGTATCAGCTACTTCCTAACCAAGACCCACTCTCCATCACCTCAGTGGTGGCCGCTACATAAGGAAGAAATTTACACTGTACAGAAAGGGAATCCAGCTGCTGATCCATCCAAGGCCCCGGCAGCTGATAATCTGGTGGTTCCTGCTGGTGTCCCTTATTTGAATAACTTGAATCTAGAAAAAAATATTTAGAGAAAATCTATTTTATATGTTCATATAGAGTGAAACCTTCTTTCTCAAGAAAGCCTTATTCATTACAATAGATAACCATTAACCTTCACAAAAATTACTCATCAAAATCACCGTAAAACGTAAGATGTTATGACAGCTAGCAATGAAAGAACATAAATATCTTGAAATTCACATTTATGAAGTTTTAATTAGTAGTTTCTTTTTCATAAAACCTCTCATTTAATGAACAGTATATTACAAGGAAACCCTTCTTTTTCCTGATGTCCTAATCATGACCCCTGGCATGGTCTCAGTCAGTGTGGTCATCTTCATTCGAGAGGATCTTATAAACCTCCTCCATATACCTCACTCTAATTAATTTTGTTTGACCATATGGTGCATCTCTTACCTAGACAATGTAGAGCTTTTGTAATAAATTTAAAATCAAAATTAAAAATGATTCATCCATTACTTCCCTTCCTCATTTATTTTTTTCTACTTTGTAACAGGGGGACAAAAAGAAAAAGTAAAACAGACATCAAAGGAAGAATTCAAATGAGAATTCATATCTACTTTGACTTCCTAGTTCCATACTTCCAGATTCCTATTGGCAACTACTTCTCCTGCGTTCTGTAGAATTCTTAACTATCAGAATAATCACAATCATGCATTATGGCATTAACTTAGTTCTTTTTGTTCTTTATCTTTGCAATTACAGCCTACTTGTTCTTTAGTCTATGATAACAGCGAGATCATGGTCTTTGCTGCTTTAGTGGAAATGATGCTACACAGAATTCTACACCCCTTCTACTCTTGCTCAAAATTCTATCTTTTGAGAAACCACACCTCTTTCATTCTCAGATGTTAGAGTATGGTGGAAGATGAATTTCAAATTATATCCTAACTGTAAGCAATAGATTGATAATTGTATTAATTTTAGATAGAGAAATTTTGAGATTAAGAAAAGTGAAGGATAAAGGTGGGCATTGTAGAAAGATGCACCACCAATTCTCTGCCAAAAACAAATCCCGATCTTTAGCTTGTAGGTACATAACAACAGAAAGTCTAGACAAAGAAGCAAAACCTGTTACAGCTGCTGGAAGAAACAGGTAAATTCACTTTCATAGTTTAGATATTTCAACATCCCTCTATCAGAAATGGAGAAACCAACAGTAGATACAAAATCAGGCAAGGCATAACTGAACATAACAACTCCATCACCTGCTAAGTGTAATTTATATCTCTATAGATGACTTTCTATTGTAGAATATATATTTTCCAAGCTCATATGGTGCTTTCATCAAAGTAGCATAGATTGTATACTGAGTCACAATATACATATCACAATTTTTTATTTGTTTTATGTATATGGGTATATTGTTTATATGTATCTATGAGCACCACGTACATGCCTGGTGCCATCAAAAGAGTACATCTGATCCCCTGGAACTGGAGTCACAGTTAGATATGAGCCATCATGTGCATTGTGGGAATCAAAGCCAAGTCATTTGAAAGAGCAGCCAGTGCTGTGAACCACTGATCCATCTCTCCATATTAACACATTGTAAAGAGTGGAATCACACTATGACTGCTCCTTGACTATAATTTCAAGAAACTAGAAAAAGAAGAACAAAAATATCCAAAATAAGCAGAAGAAAAGTTAGAGTCAAGGGAACACAGGAGAATAGAGAAATTCTACAAAACTAAAGCTGATTCTTTTAATGGATCAGTAAAACTGAGAATAAACCAGGCAGACGTTAAGAAAATTGATCAATTAGTCAAATTAAGGGAGAAAATCAGAAGAAATGTGTTAATAACATTAAATAATAGAGGTGATATTACTTGAATTCCAACGGGCATTGAAAGAAAAATGGAGACTACTATAAAGAATTGTATGACAAGATATTTGATAAACTAGATGAAACAGACAAAATCTTTGAATCACACAATCTACCTAAACAAAGAGAAACATGGGGGAGAAGAGGGGAGGAGAGAAGGAGAAGAAAGGAATTAGAGTCTATGTTAGCAACAGAAAGATACTTCAAAAGCAAAGCAAGTTACTAGAAACTTTTAAAACTGTCCAATGTTAATGCTAATTGTCCTGATGAAGTACATACCTAGTAACAGAATTTCAAACTAGATTAAGCAAAATGTAACCACATGTAGATGGTTTCACAGTCATAGATGGAGGTTTTGACACATTTTCCTCAGAGATGAGTAGAACCATCCAAACTTTAAAAAGTAGGATAGACACAGAATATATTGATAACATTATCAATTAGAGTGACCAAAGAGACATTTATAAAACAGTCCAATGTAATAATGTATATTTGCAAATGTCCTAGGTATATTTATCAAAGTTGAGTGTCTGCAGAATCACAAAACATATCTCTACATTTAAGTTTAGAGGCTCAGCAGGAAAAGGCACTGGTGGCCAAGACTGAGGACCTGAGTTTGAACTCTGGAACCCACATAGAGAAGGAGAGGAACTTCTGAGGTTGTCCCGTGACTCTGAGACAAACGCTGTGGAATGGGTGCACATGAGCACACGCACGCACGCACACACACACTACATATATAGTTTTATAAGTTTGAAGATTGTTAAATTAATTTCATATAAAGGCCTCTCATGCTCACTTAATTATTGAAAATGGATTATTAATAGTGTATTTTATGTCAGACTTATATTTTATACATTTTGAAGCAGTAGGAGATAAACTTGTATTTTTGTACTTGAAGAGAAAATCAATTTGGTTTCATGTTGATCAGCTTTCTTAGGAATTGTGGTCCTGGTGAAACAGACCTAGGACTAGAGTTCTATCATCTTAGCTAGCAAGCTGGCCTGTCCCATCTTTGTAATAGTTATTTCAGACTCTAGTTCTTATCTTGTCCCCCCTTTCCATTAATAAATTCCAGTAACTTTACTTCCAATGCTTAAGACTCAGCAATCTATGACACCAGTCTATAAACTGACCTGTTTCCAGGCCACCTTGTCTTTTTTTCACTTATAATAGAGGACTGTCCCTTCCTATCTGAGTTTAGTGCCTCAACTTTATTCTGGATCCCATTGCTCCCCTTCTCAGAGAATTTTTCCATTTTCTTTCTTTCATCCTTTCTTTTTCCTTCCTTTCTTTCTTCCTTCCTCCCTTCCTTTTTTTTTTTGGTGTGGGGGGGAATACAGCCTTAAAGATGGGACAATGAAGAAATCAACTAAAACTTTTCTTTTCAGGCAGTCACTCATCTTGAAAGTCATGATAACAACTAACAGAATAATGTCTTTGGTAGAATATTTGTAGAAAACCTGATTATTAAAAATAATCAGCTTAAAAGTAACCCATAGAGTGTTAAAGTTATTCTGTTAGCCTGTAACAAAGGTACATGTCTGTAATCCCAAGAGTTAGAAGGTTAAGGCAGGAGGATTATCATAGTCCAAAGTTAGTCAGAACAGTGGTTTCAGTTCCTAAAAACCTCAGAATGTCACACTTACCAGGCGCCAAAATAGTGATGGAGATCAGTAACCCCAAGACCGATGTCCTCCCCACAGCGTTCATCTGGAGTGGTTTCTAGTGAAACACAAATCACCATGAGCTCTGGATGGACTCAGTGAATCTGTCCCTCAAGGTCAACGTTTGTGCTCAGTTCAGCAGATGGAAGGGTGACTTTTCTTCCGCATTTTGCCTATCTTTATCTTCATCTCCATTCTGTGTGCTATTGGATGATTAAGCCAGCACAGAAAAAAAAAAAAACCAAAAAACATCAGTGGTGTTTGCTGAGTGATAAAGAAAAAAGGCAAAGCTTAACTCATTCATTCTTTCACAATCTTAAAACATTAAGATACACTTTAAGGCAATTCCAATTTTAAAGCAATATTTTTAAAAGAATGAATCATACACTGGAAAATGAGCAAATATTGTGTGTACAATTGATGAAATTGTGCATCTATGTGAAGTTGGACAAACATTTGCAAAATTTCCAAACCGAGGTGCTGACATTTTGCTAATTCAATCTTCTGACATGCTCTTCCTTAGTTTTCCTTCTCAAGAAGCAAACACAGCGCTAACATCTCTCATCATTGTTCTTTGGTGTCAGTTACCGAGCTCCACATGAAATGAGTGCTTTGAAGAGTTTATCCTTGCATGCTGATTTGGACTTATCAAAGTGTATATCATCACGTATTCATCACTTTCTCTGTGAACTTAAGTTGTTTATTTGGTGACTAATATTTAAAGCTTTTAGAGGAATTCTTGATTTGCAGATACATTTTGGTCTCTATGGTACCCATTTTCTTGGATATAGATCTACAAATAAAGGCAATAGATCATTGGGCAGTGTGACTTTATGTAATACTTTCTTTTAGGGGTTAACTTGCCTTTCCCCTTTTTTTCATCTTAAAATTGTGTCCCAGTACCTGATTTTTAAAGAAAGTAATTTTATCTATAATTACTTAAAATGAAACTTTATATATAGATGATAGATAGATAGATAGATAGATAGATAGATACATACATACATACATACATACGCTGAGTAATACTCCATTGTGTAAATGTATCACATTTTTAAATCTGTTCTTCAGTGGTGGAAATTACCTTGGTTGTTTCCAATTTCTGGCTATTAGGAATATATCATAAATAAATAAGGTTGCACAAGTGTCCTTGTGATAGGATGTAGTGTCCTCTGGGTTAGGCTTAGCTTTCATGACCCAAGAAGCAGGTAGAGCAGCCACCAGAGATGCTCAGAGGACCCAGCTGTAGCTTAGCATTTTAAAATTTGTTCATGTGGTCAACAAAAGGCTAAAAGATACATAGTAAAATAGGTCCAGGCAGAAAATCCTCTAAATAAGTTTCAGTGTGTTTTGCAATGTGTGCGGGCTTAAGAAAGAAATAAAAAGCATATGGACAGTCATAGAAAGGTATAAATTCTTCAAAATAACAAATCTTTAAATAGAGAAGTAAAGTAATATAAAAGAGAGTAAGATACATAACAATGGAAAATACACAGGGAATTTGGAACCTGTGTGTGTGTATTGTGTTGATTTTGATTTTTGATTGCTTAAAAGCAAATGACAGCTTCAAAGAGACCTGGAATTGAAAGAGGGACTGCTGAATTAAAGCAGCCTACATACTTTATGAATGTCTTAACTTTACAATGGAAGTCAGAAAAATATATTCATCAAATGGAAATCAAATGCTTTGGAGAAAAGGTTTTACTCACAGGAAATGAGAGGCTATTGATTTTTTTCAGATTAATATGGATCAATTTTGATCAAGGAGACCATGAAAATGAGATACATCTGCTTTTGGTAGTACCAATGTTCTTCATAAGAAGATGATGGGCATCAAAGAAATTCCTTATGGAGTTTGCTTTCATTGTGGCAAAAGCTAGTCATTTGGGCAAGAAACTGCTTTTGTGTTGATTGCTTAACAATATGCTGTGTAAACTAAACAGACAGGACCCACAGGAAAGTGACTGTTGAATTTTGCCAAAACAAGGTAGGACAGTCCTTTGAAGACTCCTGCTTCACAGAAGAGTCTGCCAGGGATCTGCAGGACTCAGAGGAAAGTGACTGATGAAATTGCCAATACAGGGTAGGACAGTCCTTCAAATTTCCTACTTCACTGAAAAGTCTGTCAATTATTGTAGGCCTGTAGGATGAAAGTGGATGCCCTAACATTTCAGACGCTCTTTGGGTGACTTCCAGGCAGTCAGATGTCTCTGTCTTTTCTAGAGTTCTGGAAGTTGTTTGCAATGCACTTCCTATTTACTCAGATAACGTTTATTATAGCCTTCTGGGGTCTTAGATGGAGTTGAAGACTAGATAGTTATAGCTCAAGTTTTTGTTAATGGTGATATAAAGTAAATTAGGTATTAAACTTTGAAGTCACTAAGATGGGGTGGTGGAGTGTTTTCTTCAGATTTGCTAAATACAAGTAGACTGACTATTGTGAATGTAATTCTTATTTTTTTCTTTCTTTTTTCTTTTTCTTTTTCAAGACAGGATTTCTCTGTAGCTTGGAGCCTATCCTGGAACTAACTCTTGTAAACCAGGCTGGCCTTGAACTCACAGAGATCTGCCTGCCTCTGCCTCCTGGGTGTTGGGATTAAAGGCGTGTGCCACCAATGTCTAGCTTATAATTCTTATTTCTTAACTGGTTTTTGTGTATATAGTTTTTTATGATGAATTTAAAACCTTTCATTTTTATTAAGACAAAAGAGGAAAATGTAGGATATCTTTAGGTGTGTTACAATTGTTTATGCTGTAGAACATTTGTTTTAATGATACAAAGATGTGTAGAATTCATTTATCTTGCATTTATTTAACTCTGTGAAGCTGTGTTACTTTGCATGTCTAAAACACCTGATTGGCCTAATAAAAAGATGAATGGCTAGAAGATGGGCAGAAGAGAGAAATGGGTGGGACTGGCAGGCAGAGAGAATAAATAGGAGGAGAAATCTGAGAAGGGGGATTAGGGAGCCAGAGTAAGGAGATGAGGATGCTAGGGTTCAATCAGTTAGTCACACAATCAGTCACTAATTAATTGAGAAAGTAAAATATACAGAAGTAAGAAAAGGAAAAAGTCCAGAGACAAAAGGTAGATGAGATAATTAGTTAAGAAAAGCTGGCTAGAAGTAAGCTAAGCTAAGAGTAGGCATCCATAGCCAAGAATAGGCCTCCTGATGATTTATTTGGGAATTGGGTGGTAGGCTCCCACTAAAGCCAAAGACTAACAGAGTTACTGAATTTTTTGAGTTAATCTTGTATCCAGCTACATCACTGAAGGTGTTTATTAGCTGTAGAAGCTCCATGGGAGAATTTGTGATATCACTTATGTATGCTGTCATATCATCTGCAAATAGCATAAGTTTGACTTCCTTTTCAATTTGTATCCCCTTGATCTCCTTCAGTTGTCTTATTGCTTTAGCTAAGAATCCAAGTACTATATTGAATATGTACTGAGAGAGTGAAAAACCTTGTCTTACTATTGATTTTAGTGAAATTGCTTTGATTTTTTTT